TTTGTAGTTAAAGCACAGCTGGAGGGCCAGTCCTGGGTAACCCTAATGCAGGGATGGCCAAACTCTGTGGTGAAACAACAAATCCTATGATGCATCCTCTCTCCGGGAATCATGTCTGTGGCTGTTAGAATCTTGCAAAGCCTCGTGGGATTCGTAGTTCCACCACAGCTGGAGGGCCGCAGTTTGGCCATCCCTGCCCTAATGTATTCTCAAGGTTTGGCCAGCTGCATCTGTCATCAACTGTTAACAATTATATGCATCTCGCACTGCTATCCTACAAGCGAAACAATTTCCATTTGTACTTTGTCTCCTCAGATTAATGGTTTCATTGTATCCCGGATAGACACATGCACACTCCTAATCCTGGGTATCACCGCTGTAGTGCTGAGTTATGAGAATGACTAGGAAGCCACTTTTTTTCCTTTGCCAGTAACGGCCCAAAGCGTTCCTGTCTAGCCTGAGCCTATTTGAGGAATGAAACCATGCTAGACCAGACTATGCTGTCCCATCCAAGCAAATATTAGGTGGACGGATTCCAGTTTTCCTGGTTGGCGGAATAATAAAGTAGAATTAAAATTTTTAAAATCTACAAAAGCAATGGGGAGATCTACAATACACCAAAGCACCCAGAGCACTGGACAAAACATAAACATGAACTAGTCTCTGCATGTAAACACTACATATAGTAGCTCTGTCCTTTCTCCTTCAAGGTTACTTCCTTCCTCGCATTTGCAGTGCCACCTAACAGACGGCTGATTGAAACTTATAGAAGAAAGAGGAAATTAATAGGCTTTCCGGTGTTCAGCCACATCTCTTGTTCTGATGCATTGCATGCTCCTAAGTGGCTTTATATAAACACACTCACACAACACTTGGCCCCGCTCTTTACATGCTACCAAAAAAACCAGCTTCACCTGGCACCGGCAAAGCGCGATTTCCAGGCAAGATGCATGTTTTCGTGCCAGGCTGCGTGCACCACCCATAATAGGCATTGTGCAAGACTTGAGTCTTACGTTAGCCACACACCTGACTGTGGCTTGGAGACAAAGCAAAGGAAGCGACACCACTTATGTCAACTACGAGATAAGAGTGAGGATGTGAACAACAACAAAAAAACAGAACATGGACGTCGTCGCAGCCTGTCATCATTTGGATCTCATAATCCACCAATAACTTTCTTAATTATGCAAACAAAGAATTAAAAATATGCACAAGACTGGCACCTAAGGTCCTGATGAAGTGTTATGGTCACATGACCCTAGTTGGGAATTTTATGGCAGATAATCTGTTTTAATCTAAACTTCCGATATTGTTAGCATACTTGGCCGGGGGCCTTAAACATCAAGCGTGTGGGTTGTAAAGTTTAAACAACACTGCACTGCAAGATATTAAATATAAATCGAGGCCCAGAATCTGTTGTAAGCCTCTCAACGGGGTTCCTATGGTCGTTATAAGAGCTTCAGAAGTGAATATAATGGGACTCGTTTCTGGCTGCAATCAGGAAGATATCATCAATTAGTGTCATTTGGAGAGGGAGATGGAAACATTCAGCTTTAGAGTGCAATGTGTTCTCAGGAACTACAATAAAATAGAATTGGGAAGGTCCACTGACAGGCGTTTACTGCTCCGTCCATGCTGGTGAGATTGCTTCCTCCTCCGCTATCAACAGGACAGAAAGTGAAGGGAAACTTCTTCCACAGAATAACAAACTGAAATCAAAACCTATTTTCTAATACAATGAAAAGTAATAGAATCTATATCAGATTTTAGTGACTTCTTGATTGCCAGGGAGATTTCCCCCTATTTCCTGTGTGAGTGACACAATGTATACCACAGTATGACAGGGTGTTTCTAGAACAGGAAGTGAGAGTAAATCTTTACAATGGAAACCAAAAACACTGACACATGATTCTATTCTTTTCAGTTCTATCCAGAACTAAATAAAGCTTTAAAGTGTAACTCTGAGCCAAATAAAAATGACATATATGTTGCAGTCTGTAAACGGCAGCAACACAGCAGTCTTTGGAGGCATACTTAGGTGTGTGTATAACACAAACAATAGACTGTGCAGGATGTGTTTAATCATCACGTGATAAAAAGCTGGAAAAAAAGAAAGAGAATGCAGCCACCAAATCTAAGGATTGGTAAGCTGCAAAACATTAAATTTTTCTTCTTGGGTTTGCAAAAGGGTTTAAGTGCGGATGGATGGATAAGTGCGGATGGATGGATAAGTGCGGATGGATGGATGTACTCTATTTTGTAGCATACAGTCACTCTTAATAAAAATAAATTTTTTAAAAACAAAATATGGATGTGTTTAAAACATTACATTTATACTGTTTATGTTCTTTATAATTCAAAGAAACTGGCGCAGTTCGGGGACTTTGCGGCTAGAAAGAGCTGCTTGGCAGTATGTAACAAAGCTGTGAATTTAGTAATATTACAACTTGCCATTCAAAGCTCCTAAGCTACGCTGTGTCCTTTACTTCCATGGACAAGGTACCTCTCTCTCCTGTTTATGAGTGATGGAGTCAGTGGTTGCACCTTTGTGGTCATTGTACTGGTACAAGAGGAAGTCCAAGTTGATGTTTTTAAGTAAAGTGTTGGCCATCTTAAAATGAACACCCCAGAGGAGTTTCCTTGGGGCCTGTAATAAAACTCTGCACTGGGAGCCAGGGACAGATCCCAAAAATGCTAGTGAGATTATATCTATCAGCTGACCTAAGAAGGCCTTAGAATCACCCAGAAAGAGTGCGTGCGAGGGATTAAACAGCTGAAAAATTACTGAGTTAAAGGAGAACTATGAGATGAGTGATTTCCACTTACCTCATAGTTCTAGCCGACCTGTGACAATGAGACTGTCACAGGTCGGCTCAGTAGATCGGGAGGTGAGCGAACACATACCGGCGTTCGCTCACCTCTCGATCCTGTCACGGCTCTCTGCCGTGACAGGGGAGGGGCTGGATTCCCCCCTCCTCCTAGCGCTGACTGGCGGAACGGACGAGGGAGGGGGCGGGTACAGCTGGCTCTGCCTCTAGATAGGCAGAGCCAGCTGTCACTCACGCAGCTGGGCGGATCTCGACATCGATGTCGGGATCCGCTCCGGCGTCTCAGTATACCGCGAGCTGTAGCACGCGGTATACTGAGCTTAGGGTAACGGGAGGACGCTAGTTTGTGTCCTCCCGTTACCCTAAGGAGAACTATGTGGAAAAGCCCTGACCCCATAGTTCTCCTTTAAGCAAAGAATAAATCATGAATTGATATTATTAAAATAAAAGATAAAATAAATACTATGTTTGCAATGAGTGAAAAATATTGAAGGAAGCCCAGAATGCTTTGGCCGATATACCAGCTAACCAAACCATCTCTTACAGTAAGAAAACACATTTGTGTGTTTACTACTGTCACTTGGCCAGTATCTTTTTTTGGGGGGTTTTGCAGGAAATTCCAAGCACAAATATGTTTTGACTCAGTGAAACTTTTAGCTGGTGTGTGGGAGTGCTTATGGTAGGGTTAAGGCATGCGACGGCCAGGATGGTGTGTAAGCGCGGCTGTCTGTGTCACTGGTGTCTATCTTGTAATTATTTGTCAGTGTCACAGAGTAACACAGACAAACTGTGTCACTAGTGGTTATAGTCACAAGAAGGGGAGCTCATAATTTCAAGCCTGGCGACTTGAAAACATTGCTTTTTCAGCTGCTAGAGAAAACATTTTTAGTATTTTTAGATCAAGACTGGAGGGGAGTCAGCAGCTTTTCTGCCTAAACAAAGAAATATATATGCTGTCCTAGGCTGAGGGCTGGAAAGTGGCTCCCCGCTCTATGTAAACAATGACCTATCATCACCCTCGATCCTGCGCACACCTGTCTCAATGAGCAGGGGGGCCGACTTTCTCCAAATGACAATAACGCGCTTGTTCATCCGTATGCTCAAACACATTTGTTTGCTCTTAAGAACATAAATGAGCAGGGAAAGTGTATGAGCTGGCTGGGCTGGCTAGCTCTCCTGTGCTAAAATGGCCATAAAGAGACAGACATTTCTACAGTACATCCTGCACTCTGGACAGAATGCAACTGGGCTGAGATAAAAATAATGAGCCATTACCGTACTGTGGTACAGAAATGACGGATCATAGACAGTGGCAGAACATCTCCTGGAGCTGGTTGTACATAGGACAGCAGTATGGAGATACAAATATGAAAGGTCTTCCTTACAAACTATTCTCCCATAAAAAGGTGACACTGTTTCTGCAGTCACCCCCTGCTCGGATGATCTCAGAGGGACAAGGCACATGTGATGGGTGTATGTCCAAAACATAAACGCTCACATTTTGCCGACCAAAAACATACAGTAGAAAAATCATATTTTGGCTAACTGATATCATAACTTATAAAATGTAGTCTGTGTATTTTTCTCATGTGACCGTATAGCATTGTGAAGCAATCAATATGGCTCATAATATTAATTTATTTATATTTTTCTCCATACAAGTTCAGCTTAAAGTGCACTTATTCCTGGACTATGGGCATTAAATGATTTGCTTATTCTTAACAAACAGTAAAATAGTTTTAGGCCAGGTTCACACCTGGGCGATCCATGACCACGCAGCAAACGTGCACGATAACGCGCGTATTGCCGTGCAGTCATACAGTCGACCACCAAAGACGATCGCGCTGACGGTGCCATTATTTTCCAATGTGCTCCTACATAAAGCATGTAAAAGCACGCACTGCTACCAGAGTCTGGAGACTAGGGTCACCAAACACTCATCTAAGTAATACTCCAGATACTCAATGTCAAAGAGACATTACAAGCATAGCAAACCAAAAATGTGTAAATGCTGCATTTAAAAGGTCTGATAGGGTAAAAATCTATCACTTATAAAGTGTCCACAAACCAGAAGATAACACAGAGGTTGCCTGGCCAAGGCATTAACAGAATCCAAGAATGTAATATTTCTATTTTTAGCGTTAAACACAAAGTCCGGATTTATTACCATACCTGAATGACTGGGTGTCCTCCGGTAGTGGCTTTCACTGCTCCGCGGCTGCCCTCTGTCTCATAGTGGGCACGATGGTGTTGTTTCGGCTGCACTTCGATCTGGAGTTCATAGGATCCAACCTGACTCGGCAGAGGCCACTCCAGGGCAGGAAGTGAGGCAACTGGGATGCTGTGTAAAGCAATATATGTGATTATTAATGGTCCCCGGTGAGGACATGTATAATAATAAATAAACTTGACAGAGGTTTCATTGCAAACCTAATGCAAGTACGGTAATCAAACTACTAGAGAAGTTTTGTAATGCAGTAGCAATAGTTTCTGATAAACAGCATGATACTAAACTATTAAAACAGATCTTCACTTTACAGCCATTTCTGTATGCTCTTGTTAAATAAAGTGGTAATAACAGCTGGAAGGGGGATGCCTCACTCTTCTGGAGTCATATCATCCAATCCTTCCTGCAAGTTTAATCAGACTACTGTCACTGTAATGTACAGGATGCTCTTTTCCACTACAGAGCAGACCTGTGACTACCATGTGACTACCTGTGACTACCACAATCATTGAAGTCAGGCAGAAATGTGTCTGCGCTGCTACATCTGACTATGCAGCACAGGTGGTTTTCAGGATAGATTTAGCGTCTTTTCTACAAGTCCTTGCAAACAGAGTAATGTTTTTAGCTTGGAAATTCCATTTTCTTATATTATCTGGTTAAACAAAGTTGCCAAAACTACAATTTACACTGCACATGTTGAATAACAAATAAAACCAAGTCAGAACCTATAACATGAATCACACACAGGTAACCTGATTGTTATTGTTATCAGCAGTCATGCAGCCATCCGCAAAGCTATACAAGTAATTTACAGACCAGACATTCTAATTATTGCCAGGATGGGAGATGTAACATCATGATCTGCTCAGTATGATCTGCCTAACACTGATGGGATGGCTGATGGAAATGTATGCAGCACATTGCACGTACATATTCCATACCATACATCCCTATATATAATAATGCAGACAAACAGTAACATTATAACAATGCCTCAAATTCTCTTGCGCATAAAAATTCACTTGAGCTGAAGTATTTACATTGCACGCATTTATCTTTAACAGACTTTTACCATGTTTGTAAAGATCTTTATGTGAAATGCTACAATTGTGTCCAGTCACTAGAACAAAGCTGCAAAGATTGCATACTTTGTATCTCAGTGATGTCACTGTATACAAACTACAGTCTTAAATAGATCAAATATGGGCCAAGCATACAAAATGGCTCTTCAGTGTTAAACTGTGGATGCATTCATCCATAGAATTCATACAGAACTTAAATTATGTTGCATACATGAACATAACGTTAGGCATGGCCTGAAAAAAGCAAAGCGATGCATGATTACAGTAAGCAATAACAAGAAACATGCTGCAATGTCTCCTTCTAGTCTGATTATTTCCTTTTCTATGCCAAAAAAAAAAGGAATACATATTTCACTGTGCCCTGCATCCAATCATTGGCTAAGGTAGGAAAATGACGTGTTGTATCCTGAAGGTGCTCAAAGCAAAGATGACACACTCCCCAGCTAGTTAGCACAAAAAAGCCTATTAGAAATAATTTAACAAATAGGGTTAAAAACAGCAGCTTTGGTTGTATGTAGGGATGCACCGGTGCCGATACTGAGTTTTTGGGCGAGTACTCATACTCACCCAAATGCTCTCGATATTTATCCCGATACTGGAACTTCCAGTATCAGGAAGCCAGGTGGTGAGTCATTACACGCCGCCTGGCTTCCTGTTTGGCCAGAAAGACGGCTCCATGCTTCCTCGTCACCTGGTGCAGAGGGAGCACGGAGCTGGCTTCCCAGCTAATCAGGAAGCCGGGCGGTGAGTCATTACACGCTGCCCAGCTTCCTTAATGGGACTTCCAGTATTGGTATCGGCGAGTAATGGAAAAAAAATATCGGTACTCATACTCAGTAAACCGGTATCGGTGCATCCCTAGTTGTATGCATTTGCAAATACATGTCACACCACACTGCTCCATCAAGGCAAAGTGCAGTCCCTAACTCTAAACCACAGACAGGCAACCTCAGCACTCCAGATGTTGTGAAACTACAAGTCCCATGATATATTGGAACACTCTGACAGCCACATGCATGACTCACAGGGGCAGAGACATGATGGGATTTGGAGTTTCACCACAGCTGGCGTGCCAAGGTTGCCTACCCCTGTTCTAAACTGAGTTCCTAATATAGGATAACTCTATATCAAAATATGAATCGACAGCAAGTGAATTCCTTTTAGAAGGAAGGGGTTACCGCCACACATAAACATGCATACACGTAAACATGTCCTAACCCAGGGGCTCAGATTTTTTTAGCATTGAGGACCGCACTTTGCAAGTTGCCTTGGCGTAGCAGTGTGGTTTTAACTGTATACGCAAACGTATACAACATAAAATGCTGGAAAAGTTTTTATTCTGACTAACTGTTGAGTGTTTTGAGGAATTTGTGCATTGTTCTGATGGTGCACATCTGTCAGTGAGAGATATCTGTTTATGATCACTGTAAGCGAAGCGTCTCCATGGATTGACTGATATATAGCTGAATAAGCGTACTTTTTGCCTTGTTCCTCACAAATTGGGCAATGAGGGGTCTGGCCTCCATATATTCAGTTACACTGAAGTCAGGTGGTTGTAGCATGTCTCACTATGTCCGTTCAACATTTTCTTTTACTTCTCCATTGATTTGCCTGAAGTTTCATTTATGAAATATCTGCTAAATCACTGCAAATAGCCCCTGTACAAAGGAGCAGTGATGTAAAATCCTGCCTCCTGGACCAATTGGGCCCCATCCACTCATTCCTGCTAAGTCTGCCTCTATAACGCTTTAATGGCCTAGAGCAAGTATGCAGATCAATGATAACCTGACAGATCAGTTTCCTAAAAAGAAAAAAAAATATCTTACTGTCAAATCCCTGCAACAAAAAAGCTGTTATACTTATCTCTCCAACGGCCCGTGCTTCCTTCCTTCCTTCCCTCCGTTAAATCACCTAAACCTCCATCAGACCCTTCCAGGAGTGCTGTATGTCAGTGTTCCTCAGTGTTCCAGTGTACCTCACACCCACACAAAACTACAGTGCCCTCGCCCCCATCCCACCCCTCACCCCTGTTCTCAGCTCCTCAAAGATCTACACTGTGTGGCCTGCTGGGTGCTACCTAATTTGAAAAGGCCGCCAACCTTTTAGATGAAAGATGGCTTTGCACAGTATTTGATCCCATTGCACGTGTGCACTATAAGCAGAGCTCGGGCAGGAAATATTTGAAGAGAAGCTTGTGTGGTGTCCAGCAGGCTACACATTGAAGATTTCCAAGGAGTGGGGACACATAAAGTTAAGACTCTGGATGGTAGGGTGGACCTATAAAGTATAATTAGAATCATGTACATCAGTACAGAGGACTCTGTGTGATAACATTAGTGTTTAGTGTTATCATAACAACCAAAATCACCTTTGTGTTTGTGGCTTTTAAGAAGAATCACACTATTTTCATTGACAATGGAATGTCAGACTCCCAGAGTTCACCTCTATACCTTGTATCAAATGTTACACGGACAAAGCAGAACAATGGTGGGTGAACAGAACTGTTTTGACCCCTTTGGGTCTCCTAAGCACAGGGTTGGTAGCTCAGCTATACTAAGGAAACTACTTCACCGGAGTACTAAAAACAAGAGGTTTCAGGCAATCCTATCTTTGAAAAGCATATACACAGGCCTCTCCAAATGGAGCAAGTACTTCCGTGTAATTGCCATTTTCATGTGGCAAGCCAGTAAATGAATGTGCCAGCCAATATGTTTTTAAAGAGACACTGCCACCCAATACTAGATACTCACCTTGCCAGGGCTCTCTAGCCGCTTCTTCCTCCGTCACAGCGGGCACCGGAATTCCCAGTATCAGCTAGTGTCAGATGCCATTGGCAGTAGAACAAGTCCCAACATATTAACCTTGACAGATGAAACTGCCCCTATGGAAAGCCATGGCTGCCAACTGGTTTACAAAAGTGATGTAAAAACACTTGATGTTTTTGACAAATATAAACAATGTCTGGTTCATTTAAATCAGAAAAATAATCAAAATAGAAAACAGAAGGCTCTAAAGAAAACATAGGCTAGATAAGCACTGAGAATCTTAGGTTTTAAAGGTTAAGACATTACACATCACACCTGACCGTTTTGTAGCGCGTCCTACGCCCGACGAACTCTCTCAAAAACGGTCAAAAATATAAATTGCATTGTAGTCAATGCCCTCGTTCCCACCTAGGCGTATTTCCGCCTGTCCCTAACCCCCTACAAAACGGGCCACGCCTGAAAAGGTCCCGGGACTACTTTGGGCCGTTTTGTAGGGCGTTTTCCATTGGGATACAGCCAAGTAGCCTTTGGGGTCGCGCGACTTTTTTACCGCGAATCACGGTAAAAAAACCGCGTGACGATCGTGCGACAGATGCGCATATTACAATACGCCTAGGTGTGAACCCAGTGTAACTGTTCTTGTTGCTAAGAGCAACCTTTTCTCCCATAGTGCACCGAAATCCAAAAACAACTCTTTGATTGCTATGAGCAACAAGGACAGCGCTTATTCTATAATTTGTTTAATCTTAGATATTGAAGACTTTAATAGAAGATATATATTGTCTGTACCTGTAGTAGGGCATGGCGGGCACCATCTGATTTGGCCAAGTCGGTGGCATAAGCAGGATAGATCCTCCATCTGAAGTCTTCCTCTCTTCATGCTCATAAGGCCCAAGGTATTCCTGAGGTTGGAAAATATGGCACGGCATGCTCTTATGGGGAGACACTGGAGAAGGATCTGGACTGTTTCTCCACATTTTTGATGGTACACCGCATGAAGAATCAGAAGCAAGGCCCAGATCATCCATAAGATGTGAAGGAGCAGAAGGGTGGCTGTAACTCACAGAAGAGCTATCATCTGATTGGTGAACACAGGGTGATGGTGATCTTGATTGTCGTGGAGAAACACTGGTTTGGTGGCTATTGTAGACCTCAGCACAATACCTTCTCTTTCCACCTGGGGAAGACGACCGTGAGTTGGGTCGAGGAGATGGAGAACGTGGTCCCAGGCAGGTTTCCTCTATGTTGCCTTCCCTTGGTGACATTATTGGAGCTCTAGGAGAATAAGGACGGATGGTTTGAAATTGTGAAGACAGGTCATCATTAGGACCATTTTTTGGTGAAAGGCAAGGAGATGTGCAAGGAGAGAAATTAGTCTCTGAAATATAACTTGTTGATGAGGCACTGCTGCCGGGGCTCACGCAAGCTGTATCTCTGTAGTCATAGCAAGGTTGCAATCTTGAGTTACCAAAGTCTGACTGGTGTTCTAAAAATGTTTCTGAATCTGTGTGGTATGAACCACCTGAATGAAACAGTTCATGAGATGGCGTGATCTTAATCATTGGACTCAAAGCTCGGGCCCCAGCAACCTTTTGAGGGTCTAAGAGGAATTTTGACCCTACGCTATTATCCTGTTCATATCTGTACAATGGATGTGGGGGGAAATTATAATGCGGAAGACTGCTAGGCTTGATACCATAGTCGGAGACATCACCATGGCTGTACGGATCTCCAGAGTGGCTGTTGATTTTATGTGGAGTCGGTTCTTCTGGAAAAAGAAGGGTCTTTTTTTAATTCTAAATATTGTTACATAAGGCTCACAATCATGGAAAATTAAACTGATTGTCCATTGATTAAATAATGTAATAAAAATTATAGGTATTCCTTAAGGAGGATAATTAAACCCCAAACCATAAAACTTAATTTAAAACTGGGAACACCTCTCTTCGGTTTGGGAAGGAGGATTTATGCAAACATCTGTGACCATTACAGGGGCCTTGGTAATGTGGTTAAGGGGACCGCTGCCATGGGTGACCTCACCTGAACCAATGGTTGAAATCATCTCAAAAGCTGAATTCATTTACTGCACTGTCTAAGCAGTGCATTAGGATTCTGAATAGCTGTTTGTGTAACTGCTGGGATTCAGAATGGTTAGAATTTTTGAGTAGTTTGGAGGACATAAAAGGTAAGTTAATCCTCTTATGCATTATATTTGTGTGAGTTTACTATATCCATACATCTCATGAGTTCCTGCACAGGTTCACATATTACTTTGTAAACTATAAATTGTAATCATAATTGAAACCTATAATAGATAATAACTAGATAATAGCATAACTAGCAAAATAACAGCAAGTATCAAAAAACAGTTGCCTTTGCATTGATTGTACCTTCACATTTCGTTATTTGTTATTATAATTACTATACAACATATTTACAATATGATTTTGTGCAATTTGTTTTATGTTGCTGCATCTAGAACTGCATATTAGTCATCTCATTTGGCTGAACTTTGCTACTTTTGTAAAACTGTAATAATTTAGGCCCGCTTCAACCTATGTGTTGTGGTATCATTAAAAAAATGAAAATGTTATCAATGTGTGTTAACGTTTTAAAAACTTTGCTTCTATGTATAGCTTGTTATTATATGTGCATGGGGTAGTCGTATTTGCTCACTTCATATGCAAGTTATACCTACATAGTGCAATGGTTATGCTCTGTTAATTTACCTTGCCACAAAGTATCAGACACTGTCTGATTAAAGTATCTGGAAAGACAACCACAATGCCTAGGCTGCCTACGCTGCAGGTCGCTTAAGGCATCCTAGGAGCAGTGCGTAGCTTACTAACAGCAAGTAAAGGAGCACTGCCGTTCCTCCTGCTGGCTGCTGTGTAATGTAAGGACATAGCAGCCGGTGGGAGGTAGCACAGTACCCAGCAAAGGACACACTTTCTGACACACCCGGAAGGGTAAGTAAGCAGTAGAATAGAAAGAAGACTGTGCTTGCAGCAACCCATACAGGTAAGTATCCAACATGTTCTTATATGTTGCACAGAGAAGCATTAAGGCATTAACCATGTGAACTTCACCATTTCTAAACATTATGCTTAATTTAGCACAAAATGTGCTGTCTGTACGACCGAGGCCGAGACAATTTTCAGGTAATATCAACCACTTTCAAATAGCATTTGATCCTAAAAAATGACCAAACCAATCAAGGCTACTTTGCACCATCCTTCCCAGCAAACGAAAAACAAAGTTCTTAAGCTGCTAGTTTGGTTGCTGTGGTCTGATTTTGAATTGTGCAATCAAAAAATATTTGCAATTTCCTGAAAACCGCCATGTGTATTGGTCAGTATAACACTTGTGTCTGGTAGTTTTCAATCTAAAGCAAACTTTATCAAAAGAAAAAAAAAAACAAAACAACAAAATGAAGTTGAAACTCACAATCACACACAAACAGGAAGCAACATGTACAGTAAAATAAAACTCAACAAATCTATTCAAAAAGAGCTGAAGGGTTGGCCATTCTACAAAGAGAACTCTAATTATGTATAAAACATAAGTCCCGGTACGTTATTCAGTTCCCCCTTTGTAAAGCAAAACACCTCATTTTACAACCAATTTAGTACTGTAAACTCAGATAAGGGAACATGTAAAGAATAAATCATGTTTACTGTAAACGGACTTTATTTAGATTCACTTCCTTTTCTTGTTGCAACTAATTTTTTCCCAGTTTAATCCCTTGTTACATGTTTTTCTGGGAGGCTGCCAGCCTCTTTTGTTTGAAAATCCCAAACTCTTTCCTAGCAACCCTGTGGGACGTCACCTGAGTTCATTCCCAAACGTGCCGTGCCCTCAGACTCTGCCAGGCTTGTCAAAAAGCCAATACTGAGCTGTGGATATCAATCCTTAGAGAGCGGGAATCTCTTACTACAAAATAGTTTATTTCTGTGTGAGAGCCGTAGATGGATTCTCATCACAAGTACCAATATGTCAGACCTCCAGGATCCCTAAAATAATTAATGAGTGCGGGTAAACTAACCCTAAACTGACATTTATGATAGTGGTATAAAATTACTGTTTTTATTGATCTATCCAACGATCTCAGGTCCACAGGAGGCCCATGATCATGGTGGTTGTCTGTGGAAGCAGTCAATTGGGCAAATTAGAAAGCATGCCCTGATAAGTACTGATTACTATTACAGTGTTTCTCCACCTTTATTCAGTCACGGCACCCTTTGCCAGAAATGATGAAGTTCACATGGTTAATGCCTATGCTAAAAAAGTGGGTTTCCCCTTTCACATCAAAGAGCCCCTTTGAAATCAAGATCCCCCCCTTCATATCAAAGAGCCTCTTTGAAATCAAGATCCCCCCCTTCACATCAGAGTCACCCTTTGCATCAGTAGCCCCCCTTCACAGGGGGGCATCAGTAGCCCCCTTCACATCAGGCACCCCCTTTCACATCAGAGTCACCCTTTGCATCGGTAGCCCCCCTTCACATCAGGTGCCCCCTTTCACATCAGAAGCCCCTCTTTCATATCACAGTTCCCCACTTTCACATCAGGAGCCCCCCATTACATCCGTCTTCATTGCCCCCTTCACATCACAGTCACACTGCCACAACATTTTGAGGCACCCTTGAGGAAGCCAGAAGACACACCAGGGTGCAACAGCACCCTGGTTAAGAAAGGCTTTACTATTAGGATGAGCAGTCCCATCGCTTGTCACCCCTCCAATAACAAGAATAAAGCATTCCTTCTGGAAAGACCTGGGTGCTTAATAGTGGTCACATCATGGCTGTATGTTCTATGCCCTATGATATCTAAGCGCAGCCTAGATCTAATACTTAAATAAAATAAATACTTTAATAATTTAAAGGACAGAAAGAGACCTCTCTCATAAATGTTGCGCCATGTGGGAGAACATGGGAACTTAGGTGCATTTATCTGAGTTTGAATCTCTGAGAATAAGAAGAAGGTATTGGGTGATCAAACCTAGACCACTAAAATGCCTCTTAATAGTGGACAAAGTCTTTTAATTCTGGGTCTACTGTTAGTGTCTTATAGAGAATCTCGTACTAGTTAATCATATAGACAACACAGAGAGTATCTGCTTAGAAGATGGCAGTGCCATCATGTGAGGACGGAGTTTTTTTTTTGTCTCCACAGGTACACACCGTACAAAACCTAAGCTCTCCGAGTTGTCCAAACCTGTCAGGAACTACAATATGTGATTCCTCTTTTCTTTTACATGTAAAAAATACAATTAAAATGTTTATTTTTTTTAATCTAGATTCTTTTCTTTTTTTTTTTATCTATTAATTTAGCTGAACTGTTATGAATATTTTTTCTGCACTATGAGATGATTTTGTGTTAAATAGTAACTTAGAAAGTCAAGATAATAAAATAAGTCACAAATGAAAGTAACATTCCAAAACAAAAATTGCAAAGTGACTGAACTTGATCATTGTTTAGGATCAGGAATCAATTGTCAGTATTAGGTACAGTTGGCCACTGTGGTAGTAACCCAGCAGTACCCTGGCCAGCGCAACATACACAGTGACAGAGCCAAGTGGAAAATACCAGCAAGTTATCCTTGTATGTCTTTGGATGATTGTTAAAAGAATCTCTTGTCTTTAATCTTCCTTCATTAGAGGCCACATATGCTACAGCGGTTACAGTGAGACACTACAAAGCCATGCAACATTGTCCAAAATGAATTCTGGTATGTTACAGCTTCTCCGGCCTAATTGATTCCATGCTACCAACAAGGACAAATCATTTTAATTATGGTTTTTGGTACTTTGAACATAAGAAAGAAGAACTTCAAAAAGAGTACAATAAACTGAACTCTAAGAATGTCATAAGGGGGAGAGGGGGACCTCACTGTATAATTTTGCAGAAAACTCTGGTGCTTTAAAAATGAAGGATAGCAAGCATAAAGATTAGGGGGAAAAGCAGGCTAATGCAGAGCAAGAAAAGTTAAGGCTAAGACTTCGGGAAGTTTTAAACAAGTGATATAAAAGGCACACGTTTGTTAATCACTTGGGTATCAGGCTGTGTTTAAAACCAGCACAGGCACAGCAGTTGTTTGTCCCAGTGACATTTTAAAATGCAGTTCCTGCGAGCCCCCACTGACACTAGCACTGTAACCATCCTCTGTCATTGACAGACATGGTCCAGAACTAAGTCCAACAGCAGAAATGGTCAGCTTCCCGGCTTCAGATGCTTCTACAGATAGAAGCACACTGTAGAAGTGAATGTAAGCTCCTCTGAGTATGGAGACGAAGGCAGAGCTGTTGCATCCCTGTCCAGCCCTTCCCTACAGCAGTAGATCACTCCTATAAGGATCTATCGCTGGTTGATTGCAGCCAGCAATAGGCCACTACAGATGCTCGTTCAAATTGGATTTTGTTCCTACCTGGAGATCCGATGAATTCTAATCCCCCTCCTTATGTTTGCGCAACTGCTTGTGTAGTCCGATCCCTGACCGTATTTGTGCATAAAAAAGGGGGGGTTAACTCGTCACAAGATGACGGGTTAGTAGTGGTCAATTTCAGGATCCGGACAAGTCAGTTGGTTACATGAAAAATTAATTTTATTGAAAAAAGACATGCAAGATAACACATTTGACTAACAATACCACCATAAAACCTGTTAAAAATACAGACACTAATAAATCCTGAAATTGACCACTACTAACCCGTCATCTTGTGACGAGTTAACCCCCCCTTTTTTCCACTACAGATGCTCCTCAGGTTGCAA